CCCAGATATTTGCAGAAGTCAGCAAAGATTGTGAGGAAAAGGATAAAATGGTGACTACCTCAAGTAGAGGCAAAAGCTAGAGTGGAAGACAGAAACTCTGAGAAATGGAAATACAGATAAGGCTGCTCACAGCAATTTTGAATTTCAGGGCAGAAAGGGACCAGTTAAGATCGTTTTAGTTTGGAGCAGTAATTGGCACAAGTTCAGGAAAAAAAAAAAAAAAAGTGAGAGGGGAGAAAAAAACTGTTATTGATTTTCCTTTAAGGAAAGCAAATTACCAGAATCTCTGGAAAGTCTAGCACACAGCAGCTCAGATTCTTCTATTGCCCTTTGAATTTCAGCTCTCCTGGAGCCAAGGAACTAATTACTGCCTGGGAAACCAAAGACAGCATGCCAGAAATCATCTATCCTGTTCTCTCAAAGGACCACAACTTCATATTAGGAATAAGCCACCCCAAGCACTGGGTACCTATGGTTCACATATCACTAGCTCTCAATCTCGCTCTCTCTCTCTCTCTCCAAAAGAAGCCTGTAGAGCTTCTTGTAGTTTACATACCAAATTTGAAGTTAGCTTTATGTAAGATTTTTGTCAAAGTTCTACCAGGAAACAATGAATTAGACTGAACACACCAGATGCCAATTCTGACAGGAAGATATTTTTCAGGAGTAATGAGTTTTACTGGGATGCTGCAAAATTGCTCTCCAGAGTACATCATTTCCTTAAATTAAAAACTACAAATTTTATACGGTTTGGTAATAGCATTTGAGACAAAACTGAAGTATAACATCCCTTACCCAATCTGGGAAAAATCTAAGATCTGCAAATTCCATTCTTACCTCAAGTAGACCTAGATTCAGGAGCTCAAGATGAAATGAAGAACTTCTGGCAAACAAAAAGATTTAAAAAAAAAGTAAAGAAATAAATTCTCAGTAAAACTTTTTAAAGGTTTTAGTTTTGTGAACAGATATTCCTAATTCTGCCTAATTATTCTTTTTTATTTAGAAGTTGAATCCTAGTTACTGGAGATGGTTACATAGTGATGGTAGCCATCACTACCTGTTCTTGAAGAGTTTTGCCTTGGGGTTGGAAGGGACCTCTAGAGATCATCTAGTCCAACCCCCTTGCTCCAGCAGGGACACCTAGGGCAAGGGGGAAAAGGGTGGCATCCAGGTGGGTTTGGAAGATCTCCAGAGAAGGAGATTCCACAACCTCTCTGGGCAGCCTGTTCCAGGGCTCTGTCACCCTCACAGCAAAGAAGTTCTTCCTCACATGGAGGTGGAACTTCCTGTGGTTTAACTTGTACCCATTACCCATTGATCAGATCTCCTCTCAGCCTTCTCTTCTCCATACTAAACAGGCCCAGCTCACTTAGTCTTTCCTCATATGACAAATGCTCCATTCCCTTAATCATCTTTGTGGCTCTATGCTGGACCCTCTCTAGAAGCTTCTAGTCCTTCTTGTATTGGGGAGCCCAGAACTGCACCCAATACTGCAGCTGTGGCCTCACCAGAGCTGAGCAGAGGGGCAGGATCCCCTCCCTCGCCCTGCTGGCAACGCTCCTCCTGCTCCAGCCAGGATCCCATTGGCCTTCTTGGCCACGAGGGCACACTGCTGACTCATGGTTAACTTGTTGTCAGCCAGGACTCCGAAATCCCTCTCTACGGAGCTGCTTTCTAGCAGGTCAACCCCTAATCTGTCCTCATGCCTAAGGTTATTCTTCCCCTGGCACAGGACCCTGCACTTGTCCTTGTTGAACCTCACAAGGTTCCTCTCCCCCCACCTCTCCAGCCTGCCCAGGTGCCTCTGAATGGCCTCACAGTCCCTTGGGGTATCAGCCACACTGCACAGTTTTGTGTCATCAGAAAAGCTGCTGCAGGTAGACTCTGTCCCTTCATTTAGGTCATTGATGAATATATTGAAGGTGATTCAATTCTGACCTCCCAGAAGAGTGCTAGCTACAAGTCTCCAATTAGACTCTACACTGCTGATCGCAACCCTTTGTGTTCTGCCACTCGGCCAGTTCACAATCCACCTCAGTGACCATCCATCTAAACCACACTTCCTGGGTTTTATCTAAGAGGATATTAGGAGCGACAATGCTCAAAGCCTTGGTGAAGTCAAGGCAGCCCACATCCACTTCTTTCCCCTCATCTACCCAGCCAGTCATTCTATCAGAAGTGGCTATCATATTAGTTAAGCATAATGTCCCCTGGGAGAATCCATGGTGACTCCTCCTGATTAGTTTCTTCAGCTCCAAATGCTTAGAAATGACATTTAGTTCAAGTTGTTCCATCACTGATCCAGGGATAGAGTTGATAATGACTTGTCTGTAGCTCCCTGGTTCCTTTTTTTTAGCCTTTTTTGAAGACTAGACTGACACTGTTTTTTTTCCAGTTCTCAGGCACCTACCCTGTTCACCATGACATTTTAAAGATGACGGAGAAATCCCAGCAATAACATTCACCAAGCTCCCTCCGCACTCATGGGTGCATCACAGGGATGCACCCACAGATGTTGGGTGTCAAGTTTGCCTAAATGATCTCTAACCCCATCTTCTTGAACAAGGGAAAAAAAAATCCTCTTCCCTTCTCCAGCCTTCCAAAGGAGGTCCAGGATTCCTGAGATCTGGCCTTAAGCAGCAAAGGCTGAAGCAAAGGCAGCAGTCAGTAGCTCTGCCTTCTCTCTATCCTCCATTCAGCAGCAGATCCACCTTTCCCCTAGTCTTCCTTTTGCTACTGATGCATTTGAAGAAGCTCTTGTTGTCCATGACAGCCCTTATCAGATTTAATTCCAAATGTGCCTTCGATGTTGCATCCCTGCATACCCTGACACCATTCCCACGTGGCCTATCATTTTTTTTCCACCTTCTGTATACCTCTTTCTTCTGTTTGAATTGTGCCAGGCACTCTTTGCTCATCCATGCAGAGCTTCTGTCCCCTTTGCCTGACTTCTTACTTCTAGGACTGCACTGTTGTTGAGTCTGGAGAAAGTGATGTTTGAATAGTAAACAGCTGTCTTCGACCCTCTTCCTTCTGGAGCCTTAATCCATGAGACTCTTCCTATCAGGAGAAACGTCATAGAATCATAGAATGCTTAAGGTTGGAAGGGACCTGTAGGTCTCTAGGTCATCTAGTCCAACCCCCCTGCACACACAGGGTCACCTAGAGCAGGTGGCACAGGACTGCATCCAAGGGGGTTTGGAAGATCTCCAGAGAAGGAGACTCCACAACCTCTCTGGGCAGCCTATTCCAAGACTCTGTCACCCTCACTGTTAAGAAATTTTTCCTTTAAGTTTCTGTGGAACTTTTGATGCTTCAGTTTCTGGCCCTTTCCTCTAGTTCTATGTATGAAGTCCCTCCATCCCATGAGTCCCTGCCTCCCACCAGGCAAGAGCAGGTGTGGGCAGTTTAGTAAGACACTACACACATAACATTTGTCCAAGTTTTCCAACACAGGGAAAGTTCCAATTTTGCAGAATCAGTTCAACTGAAGGTAAAAAAATGAACTAAGATGTGATATTATAAATTTACTTCTAAAAAGCTTTCAGCTTAGCCCCTTAAATCACAGATTAGTCAATGAGCAATATGGTAGCATATAAAGAAAACACAGTTAAGGTTTTAGGAGACATTTTATTAATGTACATGTTTATTACCGATGTACAATAGACATTCTAGTTCTCCATGTGTTTCGTCTCCTTGAAGTATATGGTAAATGCTTGCTCATATACAAAATTACATGATGCTTTCTTATAAGGACCAGAAATCATGAAAATCTAAGTGCTACAGTATACTTTGTAGTGATTAAACATGTTGTCCAGAAGAGTAACCAGCCACTTCAGAAAAGCACTCTAAAAACATTTCTGGGCAAGTTAAATGCACCTGTTTATAAATAATGATTGGTTTGTTCAAGTCCATTATATAGCTAAATACAACTGTCTCCAATATAAAATACCGTTTCGATATATTTCTTCACATGGACAACTAGAGTCTTGTCATATTTATTTTTAACCAAGGCTAATATAAATTTACAAGTAAAGTAACTTTAGAATTTATTCAGAATAATTATTTTTCAACCAGAAGCTTTGCTTTGGACAATGTAGAAGTATATTGCAAGTGACATTCTGCAGCAGAAGCTGGAGGCTTGCGAACAGCAACTAAGGACTAAATATCAGAAATACACACTTTTACAAGAATTCTGACCATTCTGAATGTTAACATTAAAGACCAGGTATTTTAAGTTTGTGCGCCTGTCAAACAAACTTCCACACAAAAGAAGAAAGATATCCCACAGAACACAGTATTTCAGAGAACATATCGGGCAGTGGCATGACATTTCTCAGGTCAAATTGGCAGCTGAAATTTAACATCCACCTGAGCTTGCTTTGCTAGGGTTACTATTTCAGAAAGTTTCACCACCTGGAAAAGAGAAAACAAAGGCTTCATTTTAAAATCCTCCTAAGGTGACGAAGAACAGAATTTTATACAAAATACTACCACATAATAAGACTCTTGGTGTTTAAAAACAACCAAACAACCATTTCCGCCACCCGACACACCTAGTCCAGTGCTTTTAACTGAAGAATTAACCAAATCTTTTGGAAAACAAAACTCAAACCATCTCACACAGTTATACAATGTCTGATTACAAATATTAAGCTAAATGCTGCAAGTTTACCACTTTATCTACTTTGCTGTTGAGGGGAAAGGGAGGCAGAAGAAGCCAGGGTTGCCTATTTTTAAGGGATTTCAGATGTTTAGGATTTTTTCCTCATGAAAGGTTTTGTTACAGGCACTTCTGGACCATGCTTTGATACCTTACAGAGCCACATTATCTAACTTCAAAAGCATCTAAAATCCAAAATGAAAAAAGATTATTTATGAACATTTATTGAATATTTAGGTTAAAAAAAAATCTCTGGTTATAACCACTGCTAGGAATGCTTAACTCATCATGCTCATTGTCTTTGTTTATCCCACTCATTCCAGAATCTTTCACAAATCTTTTTAAGGAATTACCTATGTATTCGTATGTTATGACATGAAAATACAACTATAACCCTTTCAGAAAGGGCCTCTACAGATGAACACAAAACCAATTCAGACTCCTCTTGCACGGCCCAATGCGTTTAACTGCCTGAACATGAGCAGCTTTAAGAGATTCATTACACAGATGTAGTATAGCACAGAGAACCATATATGCTGTTAATTTAGTCAACCGAAAGTTTCCTTATGTACCTATTAATTTGTAAGCCATTTGCTGCAAAGCCTTGCGCATAACTGGCACTATGATTTATTCTAGGATACCTTTAGCGGACTGAGGGGAGCTTGATTTTTTAACATTCTGTAATAGACGCTGTGTTCTGGATGTAAACAGCTCTCTTACCATTTTAGCAGCTTCATCCAAGTCATCACAGGCAAGAATTTTGAGGCCACTAGCTGTTATCAAAGCTTTGGCATCATCAACTCGTGTACCTTAAGAGACAGATAAAAAAAATGTAACTCTTACTGACCAGCACACTCCAACTTCCAGAGCAGGCCTGTTTTTTCTAGCAAAGATGTTCCAAAAGGATGCTGGAGGATAAAACTAGAAGACAACTACTTCAGTAGGTAGAAGAACAGAAAATCTCTATTAAAGTTGTCAACCTTCAGCTCCTAAATTTTTAGTATGCCTTACTTTTTCATAGTCTTCAACTTGCAGGCAACTTGTAATGCAAAATAATAAGAGTATTTGTCAGTACGGATAGAAATACACTTACCACCCACTGAGGAATACTCACCTTGCAACCGTACCACAATAGGTATTTTTAGGTCCAAATCTTTTACGGCCATAACGATACCTTGTGCAATCACATCACATCGCATAATGCCACCAAAAATATTTACCAGAATAGCCAGTACCTACAGAAAAAATGACAATATTCAAGTCAAAAAATAGCCAGAGGCACAGCACATAAAAGAGCACAGAACTCAACCTTGCAACTTGAGGAAAACTCAAGTTCTAGAAGTGCAATTAGGGCCTCAGCTCAAGGAGGGGAGCATCTGTGCTCTAGAGAATATCAGGAACAGAAATAGAGTTCCATACAGCAAGATATTTACTTCAGGAGTGCTTTTGCAAAAACACCTGTGCCTGGAAACTTCCACATTTGTCCTTCAAATTAGATGCAGACAACAGCCACTTTCCTTACACAGAATACATGGCGTAATTGCTTACAAAGAAACATTTTCTGCATTAACTCATCACTGCCCACGAAGAGTCATGCTCTGAAGTCATGCTCAGAGTACTCCAAGGAGATGCTTTTCTTCAAGCAGATCAAACAGATGAAACCTCAGCATTTAAAGCTATCTAGCTATTCAGTTTGTCAGCAGTTTAATCTTCCCCTTCCTAACATAATCCAAGCAGAGGCATTTTCCATACTATTCCCTCAGTATACGAAGAAACCACCCTGAAGAACACAGAAAATACACATAATTCATATGCAAGACACTGTTTATATAACTCACATCACAAGCTAGTATGTTTACAGGTAAGACATCTGAAGTGTTTTTTTTTTCCTCCATTCAGAAGGACCAAGCCTGAGCTTAAAGAAAAGACTTTTCCTACTCAAGTGGTGGAAAGGAGGGGCAAAAAGAGAGCAGTCAGTGGGTACATTTTGAAAAATGACTAGGAGCAAAAAGACAGACAGCCTTAGAACACAGAATAAGCTTAACAAGACAAGACATTGTGCACTTGGCAAAGCCTTTCGGCATCAGGATCCCAGCTGGTCACCTTTTTAAGAAAAGAATAAGCAGCTGAAGGCAGACAGAAAGTAAAAATATAGTAGAATTGTGCTTGAAAAGCATCGCATGAGTCAGCAGACAATGTGGCACTGCAAGAACTTGTCTTCCAAATCATGAATCTCTGCTTTCTCCTCCTTTTCTTTTTCTTCTTGCTTGAGGACCACCTTCCTTTTCTCTCGGGTGTTCTGGGCCTGTGTTCCTCACTTTCTCCTCAATTTGCTAAAATCAGGTAAGGCAAGAGCACTCTTGGAAAGCATGCTAGACCCTGCATTTAATAAGAAACTTTCCAAAGGGGAAGAAACTAAGCACTGCCCCTGTGCACACAACAAGTAGCCTCTGTTTTTGGCACTTTCCTTGAAAGAAAAGCAAAAGTTGCACTAAATTCTGGTGCAGAAGTAACATATCATTAACAGCCACTGCAAGTCACTCCCACCTTGTTACCTCCTTTTTTGTTTGTTTGTTTTTAAGAAGTCTCAAACTGACATACTCTTCCTACTCAGAACAGTAGGAACTTAGGAAGGCAACTCTTAGGAAGGCGATCAAGCCAGTCCTCCCATTATCCTTCTGGGAGAGCAAAGTTCTCCCGTGGTTACAACCAAATTATTACTCTAATGATGTTCAAGCATCTTTGGGAAATTTTGAACAAGACAGTTTTATTGGCCTACCAAGGCCATTGTGAAGTTATTTTTTCTTATATTATCATATAATTAATACCTTGGAATCTTATTGTTTGTGTACAGCACAGAATATCCACCCTGCAATGTGCCAATCAGATCCAGTCACAAAACAGGTGCTCAAGTGGGGGAAAAAAAAAAAAAGGCAAAGCATGGAAATCCATGTGAACAATGGCTTCTGCTTAAACAGCAGGTGGAAGGAATTTCAGATTCAAAAGGATTTCTGGGAAAGATTCAAATGCAGCTGTCATTTCAATAGGGGGAGTGGGAGGATAGAAATGGTCTACTTAATATTCAACAAAAGAATATCTTTCAAAAAGGAGAGAAAAAACTTCAGAATGTTTCCAAGCCTTCTTCCTCTGTGTCGAGTTTTAGCTAACATCTCAATGTTTTTCCCTGTTTAACTCTCTGTTTGTAAAGCTTAATTTCTAAAGAACACCTACTGAGCAGTAAATTTATAACACAGCTTGGTTTTCTACCATATAGGACCTTGACATGGCTATTCTTCCCTCACCTTTTTATCAGAGGTAATAAGTTTAAAGGCTTCTGTTACTTGCTGCACTGTAGCACCACCGCCAACATCAAGGAAGTTTGCTGGAGTTCCTCCATGAAGTTTAATTATATCCATTGTGGCCATAGCTAAACCAGCACCATTGACTATAACAAAAAAGATAACATTTAGAAACTCAGTTTACAAATCAATTAAAAGTCATTTAACATTCATTACACAGGACATACCTAAACAGCCTATGTTTCCATCTAGTCCTATATAGTTGAGATCAGCTTTTGCCGCCTCCCTGTCTCTCTGATCTTCCTGTGTCCAATCTTGCATATCAAAGATCTTCTTCTGACGATAGGCTGAATTACTGTCAAAATTTATCTTTGCATCCATGCACATAACTGAAAGAAAGGGGAGGGAAAAAATCATGTCATATAATGTCACTGCTGCCAAAACAGCAGGTCATTTGTAACGTGAACATGTTAACAGTGTGTGATTTCAAACTTGGTGGCCAACTCATGCAGTGCAAACTTAAGTTTTACTGAAATGACACACAGTTTCACTTAGATACAGCAGATGACATGAAAAATGTAGAGCATTCTTTACATCAGAACACAGTTATTAAGGACAGCCAACTTCCTTTGGCTTAGCCAGTTTCAGAATATATGCACCAATGAATGTGTTGTATCTCAGTGCTTGGTGCAATATCTTCTCCAACATAACTTGTACATATTTTAAACTGTCCATACAGAACTAATATCTACAAAGTGAAAATTAGTATTGAAACACTGCTCTCTTACAACACTATATTGTGTTTCAAGGACAATACTAACTACTTTTTTTCTGTCTGTAGAAACGTAATGTCATTTCCAAACCTCACTACAGACGATACAAAAATAACAAAGCAAGAGAAACAAAAGGTGAGATGAACCATATGGCCCTGCCAATGACTAATCTACCAAGAGCAGCAAATTAATTTAAGCAAATGACTTTTTTTAAAAAAAAGAGTAACTGTAAACTTGGACAAAGGAGCTACATTCATTTTTAAATTTCAAATTGTTACAATTGAATTCAAGTTTCAAAACATTCCCCACAGATTTTTTGTTGTTGTTAAAGGAATTGCCTGTGATATCAGCCAATTTCTCTACAACTGGATATGCTAAAAAACTCATAAAAATCAAGGCAATACTTGAATACCTATTGTCCTTAAAATACATTGTTAAAATCAGTCAATCTGCTGCATGAGAAGTAGAGGCAGGAGATTTTTAGAAGTTGCCACTATTCTAGCTACCTTTTCAGTACCAACTGTGAATACCTAAGAGGGCTCAAGTTTCAAAACATGAAGCTTGAAAAGATCCAGCTTCCAGGAATGAATTATGCTGCGTATCCAAACAGATGTGACACATACATATATATACACACACACACATATATATATATACACACACACACACACATATATATATATATATAAAGCTATTTAAACTTGATTTCATGCTAAAGTATCTACTGAGAGCAGATACCTGCTATGCTCAAAATCGCAAATGAATTTGGCATTCTAAATTCATGTATCAAAGTAGCATGTCCATAGCAAGTCCTTTTGCTATATACAGCTGAAGTTTTAGGGGAAGTTCAGTATACGGCAACTACCTTCGATTTGCAAAAATGTAATCTTTTATAAGAACAATATGAAGAGAAGAAACATTACCAACTCCTGATGCATCTTCCACCATAGGGTTTATTTCTATCATAGTAGCATCATATTTCAGAAAAAGATTATATAATTTGATCATATTTTCAGCTGCTTCATCCACCAGATTAGAAGGAAATCCCATTTTTTGGGCAAGCTGAAAGTAGAAGCATGGTTATCTGTTAACTGATGTTCAGGCTTTGATTTACAGTTACTAAGTAGGAATCTACCATCTTAGCTATTATTTCAGTGTCTACAGAATCTGTAAAAGAACTATCTTCCACAAAGGAAATAATTCTTTAATATTAAAAATAATATTTTCAAGACTGCACCTATCCAAAACGAGACAGAATAAAATCAGAAGCAAGATCAGCATTATATATCTTCACAAATACATATAACACACTGCAGAGCAGAATTAGATTTACATTCAACTATCAAACTGAAAATATTTAATTATCTAGCACAAATGTTTTAAAGTATCAAAAAGTTTAAGACAACTTAGCAATGTCAATATATACACACTTTATGAAATTTAGAAGCAGCGCTCCCATCATCACTAATGTGTACTTTTCCACATTAACAATTACCCTAATAGCTTGCTCCTTTTTTATGCCTTCTACTATGTCAATGGGTTCCTTAATTATCGCATCAGGATTCTCTGCAGCAACGTCTTCAATATTAACACCACCCTGAGAGCTGCCTATCAGCACAGGACCCTAGAACACGAAGGGAAAAAAAAAAGAAAAAAAAAAAAGAGTAAATAATTTTAAATCATCTGACTGAAACTTATTTTTTCCCATAAGAACCCACAACAATAAAAGCATGTTGTAAGCTGGAAAACGAAATTTGGACAATTTACTTGTATGCTCTTACTGAGAAGAATGTTACTATCTTTTCTCTTCACTATATCTATACAAACACTTTTAATAATACTTTCCAAATCATAAGGTGTATCTTGGGTCCAATTGCTTCTAACAAGGAAAACTATCTATCCTTTTTACATTCTTTATCAAGGGAGGAATTAGCTTAAAGATACTGGTTTTAAATCTCGATAGAAAGATTCAGTTTAGTCATCATGGATTTTATCTTCTGGGTTAAAGCATCACCAAAGAAGGAACAAGCCTATTTCCCCCTTCTCCTCTCACACCTACACAAACACACAGAGCCAAGGCACTCATTCATTCACCCCGTCATGTTTCAGCCCCAAGGACAAATCTAGAGCTGCACAGCCCAGCACCAAGTTACTATAGCCTATTCCTATTCAGTAGCATCACAAAGCTCACTAACTATAGCTATCACTGAAATAAAGCCTAAGTTCGACAAACAGCACTCAATTATTTAATCATAAAAGAAATTAGAGCTACAACTGACAGCACCCTTAGCAGAGAGACGAAAAAAAAAAAAAAGCTTCTGTATCCATCTCAACAAAAGCATCAAGGACTCACTATCATGATATCTGAAAATCTCTCCCTGAGGGAAGAGTCTTCCCGTTTACTGTCAAGATATATTCATTTGTGTCATCTCAGCTCCCTTCCCTTATCACCAGCCATGCATGGATTAAGACAGCTGGAGGACTAAGGCAACTTTTTCTATTAACAGAGGCTTTAAACTTTGAACAGCCTTATAGCTGTTGACCGTTAATGGCACAAGCGTGACGGTGGTTCACAGGATGCTGAACCAGCCCGCCCCTCTCCTTCCATCACCATCCTTCCATCCTTCCTTCCAGGAACATCCACACAGGGAATCACCCTCACATTGGGCAGACGGTGATCTGCATCACGCAGTTCAGCACACCGTTTAAGAGTATTCACATCCTGAACACTGTCAGAAAGCTACAAGCATGATATAAAAATAACTAACTTTATCATTTGGTGCAGTTAAGCAAAGACAATAGTTTTACTTAAGACACTGGAAGTCTTGTCCCATTGCTGAATAGCACTTGACATGCCAAGTTCCACTTCCAACCATTCTTATGGATCTTTCTCTCCCTTAATTAAAGGGATTTGCAGCAACGTCTGTTACTCAACCTTCACACTTCCCTCTTGAAAGCTATTTCCTCCTCACTACCATCATCCAAGACAAGTTATAGAAATTATAAAGTTATAGAAATAGAAGTTATAGAAATTATAAACACATCTAAAAACAAGAAACTGAACAGTTAAAATAAGAACCATCCCTATCCAAAAACAATCACCTCCACAATTGTGCTCGACATACATTAACACAATTTTTATTTTAAATATGACAGCAAGTTAGGAAAATATATTTGAATGCTCTCCTTAAATTGCTTAGATCAGTTAAGCATGGTTTCTCTCCATAAGCATGGTTGGCTGAATAGTACAAATTACAGATTAGAAAGTCCAAAGATTTGTAGTATTTTAGTGCCACCTTGTGGTAAATTTAGCATGGATACGCTAATACTCTGATCTTTCCAGATTTTATACAGTATGACAGAATACAGGTGCCCAAGTTTCTTAACTGTACTAAAACCCAAGGAATATGGTATTTACTTATTAGAAAGGACACTACAAAGGAAAAGGAACAAACACAATATTTATCTTCTATTGTTTTAAATAAACAATAGAAATGCTCTTTTCCTTATTAATTCACACCAAATTATTTCACACTTATGGCAGAGGTGCTCCTCTTAAACTGCAAAGAGCTATGCCTCCAGAAACTCCACAGCATTTCTGAAGGCCTTCAAAAACAAAGTTCCAAGATGTGCTTTACCATGGCTTTGGTAAAGTTATTTAGCAATGTATTCTCCTTGCTTGTTAACAGAGCAGTATTCTGCCAGATTAAACACTGACAGGTTTCAGGAACTGGTTTTTCAACATAGCCTAAAATCTACATACCTACTATGCAGCACACAGCAACATGCAAGACAATGTGTTTCCTCATCCAGAGGCTCTGAAGACAGACCTCCAGGCCCAATATCCTTACCAGCTCCTGAGAAGTATTAGTATAAGAACACTATCTGCACTCCCAGATTTACAAGGGATGCTTCACAGGAATCTCTGTGCACTGAAGGACAAGATGCCCAATTTGTACAGAATCATTGGCTCTTTCAAAATATGCTTGCTCATCCTGTGCTCATAGCTGTATTTTTAAACTAAACTCTAGTGTAAGGATCTGGTAGGTATGTATCAACTTTAAAAATGGAATGAAAACAACCCCTTCTTTCCACTCATGCCCCCTGCAGCCATGAAATTCCAAATTTCAGTTGAGACTACCAACACTCCTATTATTTATTATTTCCTAAATTTAAATTGTAGCACAATATTGTTAAAGCATTCAAAACATGAAGGCAATCAGACATTCAGAGACACTGGCAAACCAAGTGCAGCTTGTGTATTTCTGAGTTTCAGATACAAATGACCCCTACAGTGAACAGTATATGTATTTTTAATTCAGCTATAGCAAGTTAATTGACTTCTATTTCTAGTATTACTCACTTGAAATGACCTTTCCATTGTTATGGCAAAATAGTATTCTCTCCTGGGATATCTGCGCTCACAGATAAACACTTGATTGCATATCCTGCCCTTTTCTCCTGTCTGCTTGGTAAACAACTTCTTTCCAATCATTTTGGAGGAGATATCTTTTGCTTCTTCTGGACTAGAATACAAGAAGCTCAGAATGTGACAAGGAAATCACTGGAAAAACAGAAGTAGCATTAAAAAAAAATCTTACCTAGTTTTTGTTATTTTTAAGCTTAATAATTAAAACATTGGTTTTAAACTAATCAACAGCTTCAACTCATTCTTAACACAAAATTTTTAAGTTTTTCCATTTGGTTGGATAATTTGTAAGTGACTTACGAAAAAACTATTTTCACTCCTCCTTTGAGGCCACCTTCAAATGTTCCTTTTCCTCTACCACCAGCTAAAACCTGTGCTTTTACCACAAGGTCCTTTGAACCTAGAATGAAAGAAAACCCACAATTTGACATCCATGACTCCTAAAACAGTTTGTCCCAGGTAGAATAATAAAGACTATTTTCATTTTATTCCCTCCTCCCCATATTCAAAACACAAATATGTAAATTAAAAACTGCACTGTAACTCATACAGGTTATCCCCAAAATCACAAACCATCTGCAAACTGCAGCTTTAGGCTGTTCTGTGAATAAACCTCAGTGAGTTAGCATCCAAAAAACATCTTTCATCTCTGAGTGCTCCGATTTGTTTTCTTAACACATTTGTCTGAATCACAAGTTCGTTGTTATCTCACAAACCATTAAAAAGATTTTTTTTTCCTTGGAAAGTTAATGTGAAAACTTAAGAGTATCCTTAACTGTTATCTTCTCAGCAATGATGGGTAACTATAGCACTTACCAAGTTAATTTTATGTCCGTTATGGCTCCCATTCAGCAGAGCACTGATACATAAGCTTGAGTGCTTTGCAGAAGTCAGAGGCCTAAGTAAATCCACTATTTTTCCCAGAAGAGGCAGAGCAAACCTTTTAGTTAATTGCCTTTAAGTGTATTTAAATTCCTTTCCAAAATACTCTTCTAGGTAGGGCAAGCTGTGCATTTGAATTTAAAAAAAATAATATTTAAGGTTAAAATGGTATATTCTACCGTTCATTGAAAAATAAGAAGCAAATAAAGTATATCAAGTCATTTAAGGTGATAAAGGAGAAAAAAAAAAGAAAGCTCTGAGATAGTACTCAAGTTTATTTACCCTGAGAATAAAGTGCAGAAAGCCATTAAACTGCAGGATACAAGAGCTACCCCATCCACATGTGCGTGGCCCATCCCACCTTATTCCACACTGCAGATAGCTGAACCACTCTGGTCTCCCTGGGCAAAGCAAGAAGTTGCTGTCCTCTCAGATGGGGAAAGAATCCTTGGAAAAGCATCAAAGCAATTACAGGACTTGCGCAAAACTAGTCTCTCCGCATACTGAGAAGGATGATGCCAGACACCAAGCTGTAACTGCACACTGTAAGCCCAGATACAGGCATCTTATCAGAAGTAAAGGTGGGGAGCAGAGGGAATGCTCAAGCTACTACTCCCAGTTAGGTACTTACAGATTTTATTTCCTTGCCAGGAGGAACTAACAGAGATCTTTAAATTCACAGCCGATGTGAAGCTCTTTGGCATGAAAAGAATGAAGGTTACATACATTAAAGATACGCAGATTTTATTATGGTCTCTTGCTAGGTAAGATTTAATTCAGTTCTTGAAGGTAACTATTTTTATAGCTACTGAATAGTGGAAATCAAATAGATTAGCATGTTTTATGGAAGCCAGGGCAAAACAAGACTTTGGCCTTTCTTATTCATGAGATCAACCTTTATGCAATTACTTCAAGTACAAAGTTATCTTGCTTTAAGAAGGACTAAATGTCATGATGAACAGGATTATAAATAGTAGCTTTATAGACAAATGAAAGCCACATACTCCAGCATGCAAGCTAAAAATTAATCTTCCACTCTTTTTAACTCATCTTCTACATATGCATAAGCACAACATTTGGAGGAACGTGACTGTTAACATGAAAGAGGGAAACACTTTCTCCTCTGTGAAGAGACTCAGAAAAGATATTTGCTCCCCTGTTCACAGCAGATCTATCTAGAAACCTTTATATAGATTAAGTTAATCAAATATTTAAGATTCAAAATATTTACAGCATTAACTAATTTACTATTTTGAGCTTTCCATAGGAGTTTTGCATTGGAGAAAGAATTAGAATATACATACACTCAACTGAAACCACAAATTTCAATTAACAGACCCACAGAAAGTTGAGAAGAGAGGGTCTTATTTCTTCACCCTACTTTTCATCTCATTCTCCAAGTCCAGAATGCAAAGCTGCTTCTACAAAGAACTTTTCACCAAGTCTTAAATTCATTCACAAGCACTTTCTTGGCAGGGCTTATTCCTCCCAGCAATAAATACCAGAGCCTGAACAAGTCTGAACCAGATGCCAACTAAAGCTCTGATGAGATGCAGTCAGAAAGTTTATGTTCAGCTCTGGGCATGATCAAATCTTCAAATGGAAACAATGGTTACCAAGATGATCACTGAACTGAAGAGATTCTCTTACAAGAAGGGACAAAAGAGCCTGGCACTTCTGCTAGTTAGATATAGAAGCAGAAACCTGGTTACTGTCATTAACCACATCTGATGAAGGACAGAACAAAAGAGGAAAAATACTACTATAATTTTATTTCACATTGTATGTCAGCTTTAAACAAACACTACCTATGAGGAGAGGTCAGTTTAAGAAAAAAGATGCTTCTTTACCCAGATGAAGTGGGAGGCATGAGAAGACGACATGGAAGTAAAACTGAGATTCAAAAAGGAATTAGACAAATTCTTGGACAACAGCTCCATAAGCATACACTAAAAAAAATCCTAGACAGAGATGTTTTCTTTAATACTCCTAATACTATTATGGATGCCGGGATTACATGAGGGGTAAGGACTGCTCACATTCTCCCTGAAAAACATGTTGTTGTTGTTGTTTTTTTGCCACCATGAGAGACAGAATCCTGGACAGGCTGCACCATTGGTCTAATCCTATAGGATCAAGCAATACTTAATGGGGAAAGGAACAACTATTCCCACTTTATTTACATTGCTTTGAAATATTGCTAGGCGTTATTATTATTTAGATGGAAAAACAAAAGCAGCAATCTCTGCCCAGGAGCAGGTATCCACATGGCACAACATCTATGCTGCTTCTTGTCCTCAACCTTCCATGCCAGTTCACCAGTTATTCCAGCACATGGCCTCATGTCATCATATCTTCAAGAATATCAGAGAAATAATAACTTAAAGTGAACCCTAATCTAGCAGACTTCCACAAGCCTGTGCACTGTGTGACAGCACTAGCACGTGCACAAGGACACAGAAGTGCACAGGCCAGAAAGCTGGATGGCTGCTTCCAGCAGTGATGGGAAAGGATAAAGCTTTGGCATTAATCCTGGGCATTAGCTCAAATCAACAAATTTTTCACTGCTGTTAATGTCTCAGCCAAGCGAGCCGCAGAGGCAAATACACTGCAGAAGCAACACAAAACTCAACAGGTCTTTGTTAATAGTAACATTTCCATATTAATGGGAGTTAGTGCTAAAAGCATATACTTAAACAAAGCAGACCGCAAAGAATCAGGAAACATTCAGAGCATTAAAGTGGATGCCAGTGAAAAGTCTAAGTGCCTGAAATCATTAAAACACTGAGTTAGGATTTCATGAGGACAAACAAATCTATACAGTAACATAAGTTTATTAGCTCGGCAATGAAAGAGAGGAAATGCAAGCAGGAAATGGTCTGATTTTATTTTAAGCAGTACTGGTATTTTTGATTGGAAGGAATGATCTCTGAATTCACAGAGAAATGCACCATCAAACTGAGAAGTACAACACAATCTTAACTAAGTTAACCTAAGAGGCAAGGAGGACTGTTGTTCTCTCCCTGACATATTCTGTGCAAGGTGAAAGTCCATAGGTTAGGACCACGACACGCTCATAAGGTTACAAGACCAATGTGTTCTGATAAAGCAGGCAACAGATTTGTGTAAATAACCAAAATAGAAAGAGGAAGAGATAGGTTAACAGGACAAGTGTCAAATGAGTCCTCAGCTGACCCTCAACTGCAAATTCACCCTAGGTGCAAAACAGAGACCCACGCCTCAGTTCCAGAAGAGATCTCTATTCAGCTGTAACGCAAACCAACCAATCCTTTCCTGTTGCAGAGATATAACAAAAAATTCAAGTTTGGACCATATTATTGCAATTACTCGACCCAAGGAAGGAAAGGACAGGCTTCACAACAAACACTGCATCATATTAACAAAAATCTCAACATAAACAGCACTGTAGCCCTTATCCTGAAAACACAGGCAGAGAACCCCTCAGGAGCATACTATCTGTGTTTTGTTTTGGAAATAAGTAATAACTATTTAGAATTGAACTTTTCTTTTCAGCATTTAAAACTTTCAAGTGCTAGATGAATCATTACATGCAAACCAAAATCATTACCAAGATAATTATGCACCAGGAATCATCATACTTGCACTAAAGGAATCAGACCATTCAGAGAGGGAAAGATGTTTCATGCCTATTACAAAATATTATTTTATATGCAAATGCATTTTGCCATTAATTAAATAACCCTAAAATTTTTTAGCAACCTGCAAGTCAGGTTTCTTTGGCAATAACTTTAATTGTAATAGCTTCCAATTAAAATTCAGCAGTCAAAATTTCAATCTGTCAGATGGACGAGTTATGAGTTATTTGAATTGATGAATTATGGATGAATTAGGATTAATGATATTAGGACTTCAAAAGACTGAAGTGTTATGAAAGCAAGAAAAGGCTGAAGCAAACATGTTAAAAAAAAGTCTTGACAGAAATGCAGTAAATTTTGACTTCCTAGACTACCACTGCTCGTTATCTAGAGACTTTGGCAGGTAAATATAACACACTTGAAACAAAACAAAAAAAAACACTATTTAGCAACCCGAATAACTCTGATCACTATATTGTACTTATTTGAATGGGGATTTCTGCACAAGTTTCTCTCTTAGAGCACCATCTATGCCCTATTATGCCTGAATAAACTCTGCCTGGAGTGTCAAATTCTAAAGATAACCTAAAAGGCAATCAGTTAACACATGCGAGAAGATAACTCCCAAACAAGGAAAACTGATAACAGTGAAACAGCAAAGTCCTCCAAAGAACAATAAACTAGATGTGAGCTTTCCCAGTGTGACACAGAAATAATATAAAAATAAAAACAAAATCAGAACAGACTACTAAGAAAGGTGTGACCAGCCACAAGCTTCTGGGCATCTGTGCCCCATATGCCAAATCTTCTGAAGTACAAATAAAGAGAAAGCTTGTCCTCTAACAGAACCATTACACACATTTTAGTAAATTTTGGTTTCTGACTGAATCAAGCCTGAGATAAACTGATCTATAAATCTTAAACAGGTTTAGGTGCCTTTTTTTTTCTTTAATAGGTATAG